AATACGACAGTCATCGTCTCATCGGTCGCTGTTCAGAAAGAAGTCAGCAGCAAACCATCAGAAGTAATATTGTGATTTATTATTGTAATATTTGTTCACAGACATTAGTTCAATTATTATTTTTATATGTTGGTGTTACAATAAAGAATTCTCAAGCGGCCAAACGGTGTTTTGGATTTTGCGTCCATTATTACTAAGCGTTTCTGAGAAACTTCATGGAACAGCGTGAGCTCGAGCGTAGCAAGAGCTGGGTATTAACGGTTTACGAGACGTGGCTGACAAGTGGTTTTGCGGATTTCTTACGAAGACGCGAAATCTGACATTCTGTTGACGACAGATTACAAGCCTTTTAAATGTGAAGTTGTAATTTTGACAGTAGGCTCTCTGCCTGGATTGTTGTAATCCAAGTGGTTATGTGAAGACATAATCCTCTCCACAACTTCTTCAGCCAAATAGTCAGTCACACTCTCGCATTTGCTGAGTGATTCTAGACAGACGTTTTTTGATGGGTCAGACGGCTGTGTGAAGGGCGTAACGCTGTCAAACTCCGTAGGTCCGCTGTTGAATTCTGGAGCGTCAGTAGACCATTTTTGCTACTAGCCGTGTTATTTGTCATTTCCTGCATGGCAGCAGATACCATAACTCTTGGTGTGTTTTGTGTGGAAAGTGTCAAATCGTCTGCTAAAATGAGGCCTTTGGATGGCTGACGAGCATTAAATGTCAGTCTCTTAACAGTACTTGCATATCTGACAGACATAACTATTACAAAAACAGGGATTATAACAATCATCGAAAAATGTCTTGAGGATATAAAAAAGATTGTTATACTATCGAAGGATGAAAAACAACGATAAACAGCCATATTTTGAAAAATATAGGACCAGACTTTTTTTTAACAGTATTTCCAGAAGATAAAATTTTTATTTACAGGTGGTAAGGAAGGATATGAGAAGATTACGGGTCGTAGATTTCACATTTCTATATATGGTTCCAGGTGATAGACTACAATCCTTGTTAAATATGAATATGTCGGTATGGTAAGAGAGCGGCTAATTTCCGAAAGGATGCGCAAAGATTACTCAGGCAATAACAGAACACCCGTAGCGCAACTGTTCGAAGGGAGTTGACTGTATTCAGTCGTCTTTGTTGCTGTGGACAATCGTCGACAATAGTTGTGGCTGAACATTGGCTTTTATCTAAGTTTAATGTTAAAGAGGAGTTCAAAATCATTTTACTGATGTAAATAGGTAGCGTTAGAAAGTAGACATTCAGATGAGAATTAGATCGGCAGTTAGATGAGGAATAAATTCATCTTTGAGTACGTTTCTGAACTTAGTTTGAGCCACTTAATTTTTAGCTATATTCCCCCAAGAAAAACATGACATTTCAAATGGTCGACTGAGATCAGGTAACAAAGTTTTGGTTAACACATGAGCTGCTTTCTCACATGGTCTCTGACCGCAGGCTGTTCGAACTCTCCTTCACACGTTAACTATATTGATGATATACATCTGAACCTCATAAGTCCCTATTCTACTTGATGAATAAATAATTCGATTTAATTTCGATTGACCTCCTTGCAAAATCACCGCTGGCTTGTTCGGTTCCTATAACTCCATTCCGCAGCTTTACCTGAAGCTTGGGCTAGTACACGGACCATGTATATTCTCTGAAGAATAATGATCATATATGGTGCCAAAAATAAGAATTCTACATATATATATATATATCTGCCTCCTTTTAATATTGTCTTCAGGATTACGATTTGAATTTTTCTCTCACTTGCATAGAGGGCAGTGTGGAGACGCAAAACTGGTGTTTTCATCAGCATTACTATCGCCGGACGAATGGTAAGACTTTTATAGAGCTAACGGACTTCCCTCAGCTCTCTATATTACGCTAAGTTAAAATAAGTATGTGGTTACATCTCATGTATATGAATCAGCCTGGATGCCGAGAAATCCATAAGAATTCATAGTTTGATCAAAGATACACTGAATAGTGTCATTGAAATTCTAACGCGTGAAGTCACTTCCCTCCTCTTTGGAATATACATGCTTGCAGCTTTTTCCTGAAATCAACCAGCTGACAGAAAGAGTGTAATCCACCATTTTGCTCCATCCGGAAAACTATATAGTTGGCCTGGGCCCGTCGACACGCTGCTACAGTTCCCGCTGCTGCACACTTGGTACTACTTGGCCCAAACAAACGCTGAACATCATCTACCATGTGCACACTTTTCTAGGCACTAGCAGCAGCCCACTTTTATGAGTGTCACTTGATCATGGTTCATAAACACGTTCATACTAGCTGAGTCACAAAGGAGATCCCTATGTCTACAAACCATCAAAATACAAACTATGAACAGTGGAAGTCTGTCAAAAGACCATCACAGTCATCGAAAAATCACTGGTTAACCACGAACACGTGAACTCTTAGACATCCACAAGTAACTTACCCGAAAAAATTCCAGTGGTAATCGAATACCACTGTGATGAAGTCTGTAGCACAACACCGTTGATAATAAACTTGGAACCTTCCACGAAAGTAGTACGTAAACATGTCTGTGAACGGTAGGATCTCCGGAGAGATTTAATACAGACCCGAAAATTCTGAAACACTGGACACGAGCCAGTGGTGTACCTTTCAACCTCGAAATGAGGAAGGCAAACAAGGTTATGTGCCTCCTGGGTAGACCATAAGATGACAGATTTAGAAAACTCAGCCACCGGCTGCACAGAGGTGACCTGATCACTGACTGCAAGACTACACGTAGCAAGTATGTCCGAAATAAACGATTCTGTCATTTTTATTGTGGGCTTTCTCACGATGACCCACGAAGGGTCACGCATCAAAGGAAAAAGACTCAAGCGCACTCCCATTTCTTTCTTCTTTGGTACTGCCGTCAGTGGAACCCTTTACTCTCAGCTATGTCTGCTTCTTGCTTGGTGGAACGAGTCAAGTGGAAGCGGAATAATTATTCAGAAATAGAAGACTGCTTCCAAATGAATTATCCCCTTGAAATTCACATATCACTCTAATAATTGATGCCATATGGATTTGTCCTTAGGCCCTCCCTTGTCCCAATTTTTCGATTACTCTACGTATTCATCCACTAGCCTAATTAATAAACTTAAATTTTTTACCTACTCGTATCTTGTTCTTCTTTTCAAGCTTACATAATCTCCACTAACTGTTGTGTTGTTATTATTTCCCACATTTACTACACTGGACGATTAGAGAGTGGTAAAAATAACTCCATTCAAATCAGCATGGTATTAATACACTGTATGTTGCGGACTGCATATAATCTCTTCCCTCGAACTCAGCCATCGTTGTAGCAGATGAGCGAGTGGACAAACTACGCAAAAAATTATTGAAGATGGGGAACATTTACCTAGAAACCAAAAAGTGAATTTAAAGAAATGAAATTGGTTTACACAAGTGAGTATAAACAGCCCTAATCGCAAGGCTCGTATTGCTGCAGGCAGACCCAAAGCTTCTGGAAGACTGGATGGTGGCCAATTGTATGACTTCGTACTTGAAAAAGGCAAAGTAGTGAGATTACGCGCCCGTATTCTGTGGAATGCAAGGAACACTCTGTGCAACGAAAGCTTGCCCTGTTTGGCGTCGGAACGTGATTCAGGTCTAGTTCTAACGGAGAAAATGGACACAAGCGTGAACTACACGGGGCGCATATGTGGTCATACACCTTACATAAAGACGGTCAGGTGCACTCGCTCCTGAGCTCCTTCTAAGTTTGTACAAGAAATACGTCAGATCACACCTTGAAGTGTATAACATCATTGCATCCCCACTGCTTAGAAGAGACGCCTACCTCTTAGAAAGAGTCCAGAGACAAGTGACAAAAGGAGTGAGGGGCCTCCAGAACAAATCGTATGACGAAAGGCTAAAGAAATTGGGTCTCTTCACACTTAGCGACCGTCGGCTTGGAGGCGACTTGATTGCTACCTGTGAGATAAAAAACGACCAGAACCACCCAAACAAAGGTGTTCTGCCATTAAGTAGGTATGGGATCCCTCGTGAGAATTCCAGAAGGATAGCTCACCAGAGGGCTAGGAACCGAGTGCGCTCCCACTTCTTTTCACTGCGGGTTTGCCGTTCCTGGAATTCCTTACCGGCAGATGTAGCTATGGCACCATCTTTGGTGCCTTTAAGCGAAGGCTGGACAACCATGCAGCAATACAAGGACTGCATCCAAATGGCCTAGCCCCTTAAAATCGCATACACCATTCAGGGGTAGACAATTAAACTCGTCGTTTTACTTCTTTACATTCTCTTCCGTCTTACTCCCCGGACAACTTATTAATATTATTATTAATATTATTGTTATTATTATTACTGATATATATGTATATATATATATTATTCTTCAGACCTAATCAGCTGACTGTTGTTACGCTTTCCTATTTCCGTTTCTGTCTGTTAGTCTGAATAACTTCACTAATTATATTTATTATTAGCATTATTATTATTATCACTATCTCTGCTCTCCTATCGACGATAGCGGAGGACTAACTGGCGAAAGGATCAACTCCATTCACAGTAGTAACAGTCTTAACACACCTCATACTACAAAACACATAAAACTAATCCCAGCACTACTCCCTTTGGAGTCAACCAAATCTACGACAGTCGAGTGGCGGGACGAGCTACGCAGAAGTTTACCAAAGATCAGGAACCTATACCTCACAATCAAGAAGTGAGCACAAAGAAATCAAATTGGTTTATACTAGCTCGTAAAAACGACATTGGATATTGGAAACTACATATGATTAATCCCAGGACCACTTGTTTGGGAGTCGATCAAAGCTACGACAGTCGAGTAGCGGGACGGAATACGTAGAAGTTTGCCGAAGACCGAGAATTTTTACTTCACAATCAAGAAGCGAGAACAAACAAATCAAATTGGTTTACACCAACTCGTTGAAAAAGATATTGGATATTAGAACATCGTGGTAACTACGTTTCTATTTGTATACGCGCATGTTATAACTTCTCCGGAAAATGGATGAAGAGGAAGATGTTCTAAAAGCACAGGAGGATGGGCTAAGAGCTGATATAGTGGAACTGAAGGCTCAAATCGAAGAGAATGAATTAGTTCATGGAATTCCTTCAAAGGGAATGAGGTGTGTTTGTCTGTTGCAATACTAACTACTGAAGTTCTATCTACATACCAAAAGACCCAGATCATTTTCGTCGAGAAAGAAAGTATATACTTCAAAGGACAATGCAGGTTCTTGAACCCCAACCCATACTTCTGCAAGCTGATTTAATGATTAAGGAACTTGATGCGTGTTCCAAGCGTGAATATACAGAAAAATCATTGCCCATTCTATTGCATCAAGTATAAAGACAAGTTGACTCATTGTTTTAGTACTTTGTTGATAGGATGTATCAGCTAGTTGTTCTCAAACATTCTCATTTACTGAGATGGAAACGTTATTGCTCCTCAACAGCTGCTGTTGAGTCCATATACTCGGAATACCTAAATAGGCTAGAGTAAGCAAATTTAACCTTTGGAAAACTAGTTAACCTCTCTTTAGACAAATAACAAAGGAGTATTTAGATTCCAGTTCTAGAGCACATCGACTTGCCTCGACTAGAGAAGGTCTACTGGCCAATTCTGACTACGGTATTGAAGATGTATCTGTTGAAGACTACCAGATTTATTTAAAGCACATGATTAGTCACTTGCAATCACTTTCTTATATTAATCAAGTTTTAAATGTAAGGATATTTTTCTCGAATTCACTCATTTTTTTAGATAATTAAGTGGTTGCCTTACTCTCACAGGGACAAGATAAAAGAAAGCCTTAAGGTAGGTATGAGTTATTGAAAAACCTTTCTTATTTTCTGAATAAATTCGATTTATTATGTAATCCTCTTTTTTGTAAACTATCCTCCCGTATATTGCGGAGATCTGATAACTAGAAGTATAAGGATTTTTATTAAGATTCTGTGTTGTTTGAATTTAATATAATTAAGTATTGCTTTATTATATTAATATGTTTGGTATTTTTGACTTATCTTTTATCCATTATTGGGTAGCCCTCTAATAGATATTTCTAACTAATAATGAGCATTTAATCTCATATGATCCCCAAATGCGTGAGGATTGAAATCATCTGACACAAATTACTGTCTTTGAGTTGCAACTGCTTTATGAGAGGGAAACGATTTATAAATAAAAGAGTATAGTAGTACATACTTTCAAATGCTGAAGCAGCATTGCTGAGTGCCGATAGGCAAATAAGCTACCCAAAATAGATTGTGGTGATACCTAATTCCGAGCATCGTACAGCAATAGACACCTCAATTAACATCATGTTAAACCTTTCCTTATGATCAGCAATGTAATGTATTTGCTTTTGGATTTTATGATGTTACAGGTCATTCTAAATTATGGCTATCTGAATGAAACGTGTGTTTACAAGTTTGTAAAATCCTAATTTTAAGGAAAGTTTTCATTCCAACATGTCTTATATCTCATCTGAGTATGACTTTTTACCTGACTTTTTACCTCAGCAATTTCATAAGATTTGGTCCATTGTCTGATACATTTTTTACGGGGCGTACTGCAAGCTATGAAAATTATGAGTAGTTTCGGCTGTGAATTTTAGATGTTGCATTGCTTGGTAGTTTGCTATACTTGTTTTCACTAGAAAGTGATAAATCTGGTTTTCCATCTAGGATTAAAACCTTAAGTCAATCATTATCTTTTCCTTTAAATTATGCAGTCAAATGACAGACTTTTAAAGTTACTGTTAGCCAGCTTGGCATGTTGTTTGTGCTGACGATATTAGATAGTTGGAGGCGATCGGTCACATGAAGCCTTGGACCTAGGTTTCATGCTAATTTGCACTCTTCAGCAAGGTGTATCTACAACCTTGAAGGAACTCATGTCCTTTCTGAGATCAGAAACCGTATCACCCATTGAGTGGTGCAGTTAGAGGCGTTACCACTGAGCTATTTGGGCTCACATTTGACCTTCTGTAGGACTGTAGTGGGTATTTTGATCAGACACTAGTAACTAGTGTGACGTGTCTAGTCCTTTCTTTGGTGCAGACCTTCTGAGGCTAAAAATGCGTATCTGATTGCGAGACAGTAAATGCATTTCGTGGTATTCACTTTATTTCGAGGTAAAGCAATTTGATAGATATTTCTTTACAATGTATACGAATGCTTCATCCACGACTTTGTATGGAAATGCTCTACAGAGAATGTTAAGGCTAGTTGTGTTATGAAAGAAAGGGAATTTCATTAAATTTGAATAGTGATGCTGTCGAAAGTCAACAATCTAAGATTCATAACATGTAATAATGAAGAAAACGTGTTTTTGTTATTATGATGTAAATGCCCAGGTAATCCAACTCATCTCGTCTCCAACCTCGAGGCAGCGAAAGACATGGTTTCGGTGGCATAGCGATTAGGACACTCGCCGACTATTCACATGGTCAGGAGTTCGATCCCCTGCCAACAACGCACTCCTTTACCTCGCTAAGCCTGAAATAATGCTGATGAAAGTTTGGGCATGAGGCTAGCAACCTCATCCTGCAAAATAAACACTGCTACAGAAACTTCAAGCCACTAGCTTGAAGCCCTGTGTTCCACTGGGAAGCGTGAAGGAAAAAAAGTGAACTGAGTATTAATCATAAAAATCCTTAGCGTCTTCAAAAATCTGCATTCGGCTATTCGTTCTAATGCTACATTCTTGTTTGTTCATTGTCATATAAATCTGCTTCTGTTCTTTTACAGAATGCAGTAACATGAAATTATGCGATTGTGTGCGTAGTACGATTGGGTGTATCCTCTTTTTATGATTGAAGTACGGAGGAAAATTAGAAAATTATCACTGTGACAATCCAAGAGGCAAGTCTTGTAACTTGCCGCAGTTCTCAGTAAAATGTTTCTGTATTCTGTTGAAAGTTACTAGTTCCAATGGAACTAGGATTCATATTCTCACTTGTTAGAGAAATATGCATGAAAATAGTAAGCTGAGTAGACCTCCTCTACTGAAGTGGATGTGATTTGTTGAAATTTTTATACTGGAGCTTTTTCGTTGTTTGGACTGATGGTCTTTTGGTTTAAGGCCTCCATTTAGTAATTTCTGGATACCTCATTTGTCTCAGTTAAAACGCAGTCACTGAATTAAGCCTTGATATGTCCAGCTGAAAGCAGAGTTCGTATTCCTACCATTGATCATAAAAAGGCCAATATGTCAGTAGTGATTGACTAGTGTAACCAAATAAATCATCAGAAAATCAAGTGTGAATAAACTGTATAAGCTGAACATACTGTGGGAAGAGAGAAACAACGAACATGTTTGTAGGACAATACGAGCTCATCAACTGCATACATCCTAAACAAAATCAATTTTTCAGTTTTAAAAAAGTTTTGGAACATACTTTTTCATAATTACTTGGAGTTATAAGTAGAAGGTATAACGAACATAATTCCAGAATTTGATGTAGGTAGATAGATTATTCAGTGCATTTACACGTGCACTTGCGGAAGTAAGTACATAGGAAGGACTGAGAGGAGAGCATCTACTAGATTTTCTGAGCACATTCCTAAAAGTCTCCGTACAAAAGGAAGAAAAGTGTTATCGAGTGTAACCACCAGACATTTTATTGACACAGGACATACTGTGAGAAATTTGTTATTCCATCTAGGTTGATAATAGAAGGTTTACAGTGACGCACTCATTTTATATATCGAGAGACTAAATAATGAATACGTAGCCACGTAATTAACGGATTAATTAACTATCTCTTTGTTTTTGCTGACATTCATTCTTGTAATACAAGACCTTCTCCTGTTACCGATGAAATTCTTGATTCTGGTGGACTGGATCATACGTCAGACAGTGAGAAGTGAATACGTTGCATTGATAAGAAGACTCTAGAAGATCTGGATTTCGAAGACGATTTGTGTCTAATTTCACACAAACTTGAAGACTTACAGGTGAAAACCAACAAGTTGGCAGAAGAGGCTAGCTGTAAAGACAGGACTTCAATTGAACATAGAGAATAGAAACGGGATGAAGATAACCAACAACAACAAGGACCAATCACTATTAAAGGAATAAATTTGAAAGACGTTACTTCCTTCACTTATTTGGGCAGCATCATTTCAAATACAAACAGAACCACTGATGATGATGTCAACATTGGGATTCGAAAGGTGAAGCAAAACTTCATCACTCTAAAACCAGTGTGGAAATCTGCTTCACTCACCAAAATCACAACAAAATTCGCACTTTCCACATTGGTGTTAAGTTAATCACTCCTTCTACGAGAGTCAGAAACTTGACACCGGCGTCACGAAAAGCATCTCCAACAAGCTGATGGAGACTTATATCAACAGGTAAAGATTAGATAACCAGCTGGTCTGAAGAGACAAGTAACAAGGAACTCTAAGAATGAACGAATCAAGAAACTAGTGCCCAAGAAATGTTTCGAAGAAAAAAGAGATGGGTGGGACGCACTCTGAGAGGGCTGATAGGCGACATCACGTGGCAGGTAAACCCTCGAGTGGTAGTTGAATGGGAAACAACGGGTTGGTTGTGTGTCCGAGGGCGGCTCGGAAGAGCTCGTGTGAAGCAAAGTCGAAGTGTGATTTTGAAGCCCTATGTTCCACTAGGAACCCAAGAGAATAGTGTCAATAATACATCCTTGTATTGCCGAAAAAGGCTGAACAGGCTGCTAATCATTTAAAATCTTCCCATTGTAAATTATACATGGTGGAATGAATCAGTTCGAGATAAAATTCTCTTTTTTGTACAACATAACAAGTTTTCTTTAACACAAAATGTTTTCAAGTATTGGTTTTATAGGGATTTTGTTTGATTGTATGGAGGATTTTATCATGAGCTGACATCAGTTGGAGAACCACTGCAAAACCTGGGAGTACTGGACAGCTGTCTCGTCCTAGTTTGGGATTCACTAACGACTGGTCCTATTCAGGAAGTTAACCTGGGGTTCTAGTGGGAAGCCGTGACCAGTAGGGTAGGGCAGGTCGAAGATGAGGAAGTAACTCATCGAAAAAGACACTGCGAAATGGTCGCACTATGTCGTGAATCAGCAGAAGTTAGAATTCAAGAACTATTCGATCAGGTCCCAGTGGCTCAATGGTCTACGAAATCGCCAACCTTGTAAGCAGAAGGTCCTAGGTTCGAACTCCACAGTGTGGGCGAGTACTGATGAATAGTTCCAAACCAGAACAAAACATCTGTCCAGTACTCCCAGGTTTTCCAGCAGTGGTTCCCTAACTAAATGTCATCTCATCATGAAATCCTCCATACAAACAAAATGCTTTATTTTTTAACCAATACTTATGATTACTTTTATGATTTACAATTCGTTATAGAAAACAAAAGTGGACAGCGGTAAAGAAGATCATTCATTGGATGATCAAGGACAACAAGATAATGCTGTGTTTGATAAATCATCGAAATCTGATGAAAAAGTTAAAACTACGCTAAATAAACATACAGATAAAGAAGGCAAACCAAATTATTCTTATCTAAATGATGATGATGATAATGATGGGGATCTATTCACTGGACAAAAAGATAGCAATATTAAAGTAAAAGAAAATGAAGCTGTTCATGAAACAACTGGCAATATCCCGACGGATACTGGTACTGGCACACGTCAAGATATGAATGATGAAAATCTAGCTCAACCGTTAAAAGAGGATAAAAATAAAACAAAATTAATCAGTTTTGTAACAGACAAAAAATCCATCACTGTTCATCAAAAAGAAGCAGCCAGTGAAAATAAGTCAACATCATCAAGCCCTCAACAACCTCAGTGTCATTTTCATTTTGCTGAGCATATTCCCCAACCACCAGTAATGATGCAAGCAACTGTTATGACTGCGAATGGTCCATTATTACCAAATAAGGCGAATTTATTGTTAGCAGCTACAGGCGGTGGAATTACAACAGATGAAAAATCCTCTGGTCTACCATTACATGCAAATGATTTGGAGACATTACGACCACACTTGATATTACTCTGTTATGCATATAATATTCAAATGGTAAGAAAAAATTTCTCCATTAATTTACTCTTTTTATGTATCACTTACAAACCCGCCCGCCGACAACTGCTACCTTGTCGCGGTGGTCGGGCTTGAATACCGCAGTGACCCAACATGCTAAAGTGGCTGGGACTCATGTCCCTGCCATGTCAGGAAGGTTGTTTGGATAGCGGTTAGACTAAAAGCAATTACCATGGGGTACATGGGCTCCAGAGTCCAAAGGGATAAAACGGCGTATGAACCCATATGGGTCACCGGAAACCATGGGAATGCAGCTCCTGATGCTGCTCCACTGCCTTGAGGATTAGACTCCAAGTCAAAGGCTTGGGGGTTGGTCCTTCAATAAAACCACCTGCTTCGGTCTGGGCGCCCGCGCATTATCTCAGCCCTCACACAGCAAATGAAATTTAGTATGGCGCATCTTTCTTGGTGCCATATTGTACCAAGTTTTTTCTGCGTTTAAATAAATAAATAAATATCACTTACAAAATAGAGTCTGGCTTCATACAAAGAGAAATAATTCGTTGTGACTACGGACACTATGGGAATTTGTAAAAAATGACTTTAGAACATAAGCAAATAGCATGTGGAAATATCCAGTTATCTAACTGTTGTGTTTTCTTTTTTCGTAAATTGGATTGAAATTCCTCTTCATAATTGAATGTAGCTCAGACATGTAGCTCAATCTGATGTATATAAATTCAGGTGGCATTTTTTTATTACTTGAAAAACGATTTTCCCATTTCTATTCCTTTCAATATTTCTTCTTTGACATTAAAAAAATCACAAATCACTCACCATTTTATGTTGTATACGATTGTGTTAGGAAGCACCGAAATCATAACTTATCATGCGTACAGTTAGAAAAGGCAGGCGGTAAATTAATGTTACACTTCAAAAATACAAAATAAAGAGCAAAAAGTAAACGAGAAGTGAACAGAAATCAAATGATCCGAAAGCAAACAGACAAAATTAAAGAAATCCAAAAATTAGTAGACATGTTCAGAATTTCGGGTATAACAGATAGTGAGTGGTTTGATGCCATATCATTAAGTTCCTTTCAAATTTCACAAGTGATGATGCAGTATTATTAACTGGATGACGTTCCCAATATAGCTTATTGTTGCTCGTGATCATATCAGTTTAGTCATAGACTTCATGATTAGCCTTACATACTTTTTTCTCTCTCTTTTCCCTATGTTGTTTGTTGAGACTTTACATATATCCGGTACAGACAATAATTAACCTCTCTCTATATCTCCACCTAAATATATTACTTTTTAATACTTTCACTCTGTTCCAACATATTTTGTGATTTTGAAATGTTGGGTTGTAGGGATTTGATTGGTTACAGGATTTCATCATGAGCTGACACTAGTTAGACAACCATTGGAACTAGTTTGGGACTCTTCAGCAGTACGCACCCACTGGGAAACTCCATCCTGTAGCAAGTCGCTAGCGAGCATCAGACTAATTTTCTATAGTTTGGTTTATATGGGTTAGTTATGTTTTTACGAGTTTCCTGGACTTGTAGTGAGAAGTCGTGACCAGTGATTTCCAATTAAATGTCACCAACGACAATGGCTGGGGTCGCGCTAAATCACGAATTGGTTAGAAGTTAGAATTCATGGATTGGCGATTGAATCGGGTGTCAGTGGCTGAATGGTATATGAGCCAGCTTGCCTTGTAACCAGAAGGTCCTTGGTTCGAACCCTGGCACTGTGGTGGGAGAGTACTGCCGATGATTCCCAAACTAGGATGAAACAGCAGGTGTCCAGTACTCCAGTGGTGGTTTTCAATGGTTCTCTAACTGATATCAATCCGTGATCAACTCATAAAAACATAACTAACCCTTAAAAACCAAACTATAGAAAACATTCTAGGTGTAGCTAAACTTTATGTCCCGATTATTTAGCTGGTGCATCGGTGTCAAAGCGGTAGAATGCTCACTAACCACGCCTCATGTGATTCGGGGTTCGTTCCCCGGCCACTGAAGCACTCCTTTACCTCTCTAAGCCAGTAATAAGAGTGGTAAAGTGGGAGGGTTGAGCATGAGGTTAGCAACTCCAGCCTGTAAAAATGAATACCACTGTTAATGAATCTTCAAGCCCCTAGCTTGAAGCCCTATGTTCCACTGGGTACGTAAAGGAATCAAAATGACTATCGGGTTGACGGCGATCTACTAGTTTGACCTATGTAATTCACCTCCCTAACAGTCATTACGTGATATTTGGTAGATTGGATCTGTAGGGTCCTTAAGCCGACAATGTCTATCTCTGACAGAGTTGGTTGGTATAAGGGCCACGTTAATTCCAGCTTCAATCAGAATCCTGCTTTATGCAGTTTTTAATACTGCATTATCGCTGTGTGGTATTTTAAATAAACTTCTCTCTGTCTGGATTCAATATAGAACTTGGCACCGAAGTGCAGTAGTTCGGGTTGCCACGTTCCAAATAGCACACAAAGGTAGACAAGAAGATGAGTGAAGAGAATCAATAGAGTTTGACAGGTATAAGAGCGAAGCAGAATGGGTAATGGTAGAAAGAATTATGAAAGATTAAAGAGACTGAATACATCTGCGCTGGTCATTGACAACGATTTTGAGCCATGTCACCTGTCGTCTCCAGCCATTGATTCCTGGAGTCCCGAGGGCCCCAACCCGGGAGTCTGTATCTTCCTACTTGACTCAGTTTAACTGCCAAGGATTTCATGGATTGATGAGGCCATGTTTTTGTTTGGCCGCCACTTACTCTTTTCTAACCTGCACCTATATCAGCTAGTAATGCCCGTCTGGGGAGGCGATGGTTAGGGATGCGCAGCACGTGACCTAGACATCTCAATCTGTGTAACTTTGTAGCCTCGTCGTTTGATTTTCCTTCTTTGCCCAACACTCTACGCCTAACGTCAACATTACTTACCTTACTAAACCACCTAACGTGAGACAGGGATCGCAGACATCTATGATCAAAAGCAGTCAACCTTTTCATGTCTTCAACGCATATTGGCCATGTTTCAGAGCCATAGAGAAGGACGGAGCGAACTGCTGAGCAGTACACACGTCCCTTAGTTGATAGCCGAATGTCACACCTACGCCAGAGATAGTGTAAGTCAGCGAAAGCAGCTCGAGCTTTTTGGGTCCATGCTGATATTTCGTCACCAATCAGTCCGTTGGTCCTGATACAACTTCCCAAATAGGTGAAGTGGTCATCATGTTCTATCACTTCACTCCCTATCACTAAGCTAGGAGTTGACGTAGTTCAGTCCTGTAGCAGCATCTTACATTTTTCAGGGGTGAATCGTATGCCAAACATACGACGATTGCTGCTCAAGGTGTTCAGAAAACTCTGCATTTTGTCAGCATCCTCCCCTAACAGGACTGTTATCTGCATATTCTAAGTCCATAAGACTATTCCCTGGTAACAAGTCGATTCCTAAGTCGTTAAGTTCAGTTAAGGATACTTCCATCAGCATATCTATGATGAAGTTAAACAGAAATGGGGAAAGTGGACATCCCTGTCGGACACCACTGGTTGTTATCAATTCAGATGACAATTCCTCATAAGCCCTTACACGACTACGTGAGTTTGAATAAAGTGCCTTGATTAGTGCAATGTACTTTCTTGGCACTCCCTTCACAGTCAAACATAGCCATCGTACCTTTCGATCCACGGAGTCGAGAAATATGGCAATTGTTGGACGCCGAAAAGTGTTAAATAAACTTGGGTATTGTGGTAGAATATGAATCCTTATTAGATAAGTTTATTTAACTTACTTAAACTTATCTAATAAGGAGTCATATTCTGCCACAATGCCCAAGTTCTACACTTAGATTAACCCTCCACTTTATAGACTTTTAACAAACTTAACATCATGACTTCAAAGGAAATACTCGTTCATAAGTTTGAGTTAAAAGACATGCTATAGGAATATGACTAATTACAGTCGACAACTAGTTTTTACATTCCCTTACGTTACTAGTGGAACATAAGGCTACAAAGTTTCCGTGGCAGTGGTGTTTATTTTTACAGGATAAGGCCTCTAGTCTCATGTCTAACCTTCCCTCTCTACCAGTCTCATTAATGGCTTAGGGAGGTAAAGGACTGTGTTGGTCAGGCATCGAGCCCCGAACCAACTACGTGGTTGGCAAGCATCCTATCACTGCATCACCGAAGCTCAACAACCAGTTGGTTGAATTATATAAGTAATATAGAGAAAAACTGTCACTACTTTTAAAGAAATTCTGCAGTTAAAATAATTCCATTACTGAACGTTCATTTAGTACTAAAATGAAGCCATTAATAAGTGTGTGTGAACATAAAATCGAAAATAAATATAGGGGATAAGAGCATGGAAATACACACCTAAGCGAACAGTATTATTTTCAGTTGGATATCATAAAGCTTTCTTCTAATATACATAACGTCATAAATAAGTAATGAATGTAAATCAGTCATGGTTTCTGAAATTTAGTGCAAAGCTCAATGAAGCAAAAATCACTTTAGAATTGATTAAAGAGTGAGTGTATACGTGCAGAATGTCAACCTAAATTATGCTGGAAGTCGTTGCTATAGAAAACGACTCTTCCTAAATTTAGACGTTTTGAAAGATGTGATCTGAACTAAATGGACTCTGTAAAAAGTCATAAACATGATTTAGAAAAAAAGGAATCATAAAGACGGATTTCTGTTGATGAATAACCTCAAGAGTTGAAATTGACGTTTTTTTGGATTATATAAAGAACATAATATAAAGCAAAAACAATAAGAAGAGAAGTAGTTTTCTCATATCTCTTGAAAACTTAAAGTTTGAAAGCTAATTTTCCTGAGCTGTAAGCTTATATTTTCATGAATTTTATTAGTAAGTATTCTTGTTTGTTAAGCTTCAACCAGAAGTGCTGTATGTGTGTCCTAGATGCTGAAATTCTTCTCCTAAAGATACCTCAGGCTAAGTCTGCCTTGAAATCCAGGTTCATGTGAAGTTTTCCTTTTAAAACAAGTGAT